CTCAGTGCGAAGTATATATTGGCTATGTCACGACAGAGGTGAAGACACGGGACTAATCACGCTAATCGCCATTTATCACTTGGCGAGATGAGACCGACAAGGAGAGTTCATATCGGTCTGACTAAACTGAGTCAATAATTATTTAGCCTCCGAAAACACTGCATTTATCAGAAGAACTCAATGTTGTTACACAGTAGGGCATCGTGGATTGATGAAATCTCTAGATTTGATGAAGTGAATGGAAAATTGTTGCTACATGACTAAAACTACTAATGATTCTGACTAATTCATACTAATGAATATGAAATATATTTTCCTCTGAGATTATTAACGACTAATATATCAGGTTAAGTTCAGCACCAGTTTGACATTTACAGTTGCAATTTGAGTCCAGTTTGATGGCATAATACGAGTCAAGATTGTATAGGTTGTAACAGGTTACTAGAATGTCTAATGCTAAATGTGTATACCGTCCCTAGCATCATTATTGGGAAATCTGATGTTCAGTATCCGTGTCATTCCTCTACATTGTATCCATTACAAGTAATTACTTGCCAAAGTCGTTTGATAGCGATGTAATATTTGAAAGCAGCAATGTGGGCGATAACAGTCACTTACATCGACAAAGCAAGAAAAACTTTGTGTTGTTGTTTTTAGTTTTTATTATTTATCTATTTGTAAATGTTCAGTTGTAGGTTTGAATTAGAAATTCCAAATTCATCGTAGTATACTTTTTAGAGTATGGTGATTTCTGACAAACTTCAACCACAAAAAGATCAAGCGAGAATATATCTTCAGCATTGACCATGACATATGATTGTGTTGACGATACCACTTCTCAAACGGAGAGATGACGTTTTAAAAGACCTTTTTCTGCATTAGGCTTACTGTTGTCATCACGCAAATGTTCATAAGAGGATTGAAATGAGTCCCGCGTGAGGATACTTTCTTTTGACCAGTAATGTTCATTTACGATGCTTTGATTGATTGGTTTGGTTTGTTTAACGCCTCACTCAGCAATTTTCCAGCTCTATGGTGGCGGTCTGTAAATAATCGAGTCTGGACCAGACAGTCCAGTGATCAACAACATGAGCATCGATCGACGCAGTTGGGATACGATGACTTGTCAACCAAGTCACCGAACCTGACCACCCAATCTCGTTAGTCGCCTCTTAAACCTTGGCACGGGGTTGTGACCGGAGGGATCGAAGAAAAATTCTGATAAAAACGTCTCCTTCCGGCGAATGAGGCGTTGTTCCCACGGAATTCTAGTTGGCGATTGCCAACGCTATCACAGAGTGCTCTCGGCGTGCTAGGAGTTCTCACTGTACGTCCACGGCGGGTACACTGTGACGATGGCGTGCCCAACACTTATTGCGTGCGCAAAGTGCATACAAACACCATCATCAGTTACTATTTTGCTTGTCTCACGTCCACGTAAAAAGAACATCATGGCCGGCATGAGTAGTACTAAATAAAAGATGAGAATGCATTTATACAATTTAATGAGGTTGCGTCATACATATCAGGCCATGTGACGTGATAAGCTCAACTTGTTTTTCCGAGGAGGTGGAATTATTCTTTCCCAAGATTCCCATGGGGACGATGAATAGTTTCATACTGACTTGTCTTCTTACACCCTTGACATGACTCTTTAAAGAAAACGTAAATATGATATAAAACTGTAAGCTGAAATTTACTTTAAAAGCGGCTTGTATGTAATCAAGTTCAGATAACTGTGTTGCCGTTTCCTGTTGTTGTACTTAGGGGGGATCTCAGAGTCATCCAAAACGATTTGCTTATAGTTTATTGAAACGAAATTATGATATTTACATGATATGTTATGATGTTTAGAACTAATAACGCAGAGCTTAAAATACGGTAAAGGGCTGACAGCAAGGCTGATATTAGGGCTTTCAATCAAACATCTTAGTTCTGTAATATGTTATAGGATAATTTCAATACGTCAACGACAAAAAATAATCATGGTCGTACATCGGCCGAAACAAATTCTATAGATTCTAAATGAGAAAGTATACAAGATTTGAATACTGAAAATCAGTCATAAAATGGTATTCAGGAAAAGATAATCATGTTCCAGTTGTCCCCGCCATAATGATATAGCCTGTAAAAAAAGCAAAACAGGATATTAAAAATTCAATGTAAATGGCATGGCCTGGAATAGCAACGAGCTTTATGTTGGCAATCGACATGTCATATTTATCCATATTTATTTGAAAGTCAGAAACACAATTTCTCGAATTTCTTAACCAGGTCTATAATGGTTAAAAACGCTATTGAAATTTTAAGTTGTCAAAGTGTGTTGTTGAAAATGTGAACATATCAAATAATAATACATACGTTTCTAAAGTAAACAGATGGAGTGTAGATGCCATACGCTAAGGCTGGCAGGATGTTACTCGACATGAAGGGAAATTTACGATTGGGAAACTGAAATCCGTTTATACAGTCTGCAGGGTCTGGCTCTATAGGTGACTGTAAAATCAAATATTCGCCATAAGCATTGACCTTGAGACAATAGAACCATTCCATTAATGTCATATTGGACGAAACATCTCGGTAAGTCATGAAAGGTACACTTTTTGGCCGCATTTCGTTGGTCTGTAGGTGTAAACAAAATTGGTTAAGCAGTAATGAAATTAAAGATATAGGCAATGAATGCTAAGCTCCAGATCTTGATTGGTGGAAGAGAACATTTGACTATTATAACCTACGCCAGTACAGTTCGATAGTATGTTGAAAAAATAGCAAACGAAGTATAGTGTATATCATCCCATCTTGTTGGTCAGAAACGTAGATGACAGAAAATTGTATCCATGAAAACACATATTAACTGTGTGATATACATAAAACAATGACACACACCTATTCAACTGTCCATAAAAAGGAGTCTTTATCATTCCGTCAAGAATGCAAAGCTGCACAGAAGTACATGCAATCACATTTTATTTAATTTCCATATTGATTCATTGTATCTTTGCATTCTTTGCAACAATATAATTTAAGCCGCTGTAGTTTCTCAACCTATATGCGCAGGTTTACCAACGTCCATAAACCCGTAACATCGAAAGAAAGAGTTTCAGATGAATATGCTTCCAATCTAAACCAAACCAAATTAAGAGCTGGGTGTGTGTCAGTTTTTGCTATGAGATTGAGCAAGGTCTTTAAAGCCTCCAGTGTGACACTGACATGCCATAACAGGACATATTTGAAGAAAATCAACATGAAACAATATGAGAATTACATAAACAATTCTTGTTAAATCTTTGCTGTCTTGAAATGACAAAATCTTCCAATTGTCGAAAGTGACAAGAGTTGTTTAGAGGACATTTTTTTCCTGAGGGGATCTTATTAGATTTACATGTTTCCGACGGGTTGTCAGAAGAAGGTGTCCTGAGATTCAGAATACTAATACAGATCAAGGGGAATGAATATTCTCATGTACTCTTATTCCGGACGACATGAGTTAAAAAAAAACATGTCAGAGTTATGCAGTAAAACGCATATTTTGTTTTCTGCGATAATTTAATCATGTGAAATTGCACTTGAAACCAATACACAGGACACGGGCATTGAGCCATGTGTTGAAGACAAATGCAATCTAATCGGTATGGTGTAATTGGCAAATGTTCTATTATGTTATCCTAATTACATCTGCAAAACGGTTGTATTAAACATGTACACAATCCCCCGAACATCACAAGGACAATCCACTTGACATTTGCTTATTGATTGCCTAGTGGAGTGAGTGATGTGAAATGTGCATGCTGTTTTATGCCGCAATGAACTGATTATGCAGCAGTTGACACCTGCAGACAAGCATAGACAAGAGGGAAAGAGCACTGACTGTTTAAAAAGAAAACGGCAGCTGCCTCAAGAACACATACATACTGGATATTTATGATGGCATTAACTTAAAGTCATTTGGTGATCAAGTTTTCTGATCATCGTTGTGTTTGACTTCAACACCAGTTATTACACACAGTCATACCAAGGAGAGACGGAGAAAGCAAGGAGGTAAACCGACGTCCCTTATGTTACACAAAGATAATGAGCGTATAAAGCTATACCACACGCGAAACACATAGTTATTAAACAATGGGTATTATGTTTATAACGGGAATCATTGGGAGATTTTGGTAGCGTCTTCACATATTACATGGCTAGGTGTCCGTTTCAAAAGTAGTTAAATACAAAGTAATTTGTGTCTCGTGCCAAACTGATACATGCCTGTGTGTAATTAGAACAATCATTACTTGATAGATTAACAGAGAGATGGATTCGAGCGATCTGAATCAATTTGTGTCCCCTTTCACGTTTCTCAAACGGAGATTGATTAATCCTTGTTTCCTCAGTATTAAATTATTTAGAACTGAAATCTGTTATTATGGTTCTATAGGTTCTTGCGTATCATACAAGCATCATATTTCATTACGGGAATATGCACCACATCTATTCTTTTGTCACAATTCGTGTGTGCATAGTGGTCACTTGTGTTACAATAATTGTAACAATGTCCACAAGAGGAATCCTTATTCTTACACCCTAGAAGTATTTATTTTAGATTTTTGCTGAAATTGATAAATTTATGAATTATCATAGTTTGATGGAATATTTGAACCTAGTACAGTGTTCACTGTATGTGTGAGACCATCATTACCAATATGGTGAAACAAAACCAGTGTCATATGTATCATAATTATGTGCACATGTGGACACATAGTATTCCCAGAAATTATTGAGAAAGTTGTTTCGGCAATTGTCTAGTACATGTGTATAATAATAATTATAAGGGAACTTATATTGCGCAATACTCCATACCACAAAGGGGCATGCTCAAAGTGCGCACAAATGTTTAAAAACAAACACATCAAAAAGTCATATGAATCAGTATTGTAGTAAATATGAGCTTGGAGAGAGTTACTGTTTATATCAACTGAAAAGGTATGTTTTGAGGTTACGCTTGAACACTTGAAGTGAGTTCCATAGTGCGGTTGCAACTGAAGCAAAAGAACGGGCACCAAATGTCTTGAGGTTGAATGATGGAGGATCCAGCAGGTGTTGGTTACTGGATCTGAGGGCACGAGCAGGAGTGTATGGTGTGAGAAGATCACACAAGTATGAGGGAGCCGTGGAGTTAACACACTGGTATAAGCTATAGTAGTTTTACTTTAATCAATATGTTGAGATATAATTCTCTTACAGTCTAAGTGTCTTTTCACTACTTTGTGATACCTCCTGGCCCTGCAATACAAGACTGAATGCGCCGAGTTACACTACCGGTCAAAGTTTGAAGGAAATCGTGTGGCAGCATATCCCAATATTCGTTATCATGCTGGAAAATCCAATAATCTTCATACAGTGTTTGGGCCGTTGGAAAGAGATGACCATTTAATATGTCAACATATCGTTCCCCGTCAAATTTCCAGTGAAAACACACAACAGCGTTACTCAACATGATGATATCCCACCCACATGTGAAATTTCAGACTATTTTTTTGGCGTTGGTAGATATTTTCATAGTATCTTTTGTCCAAGTTTTCACACAGTTCGGAAAAAAGCCAGACAGAACTTTCAGCAGGAAAGAAAACATTATCCCAATCTTCGTGAGCCCTACACCAGTACAAACGTCTTTCTTCTTGTACATCTTTCATCAATGGTGAGGGAATTCCGCGCTTTTTCACCCAGTTAAGCCTTTGTAATTCTTCTAAGGGTTTCATTGCATACCTGAAGACTTCCTCTACTAATCATCTCATTTCTGATAATCTCAATGCTTTTCAATTTTCCCCTACTAACAATCTGAGCAAGTCGCCGGCGATCCGTCGTACTGAACTTCCTTGGTCCCTGTGCCCTGTCTAGTGCTCAATCCCAACTCCTGACTTAATATTCTTCAAAGTTCAGTATACTGTAGACAGAGGAACGTCATGTATACCAGCATTTTTGCATTAGTCACCCCCCTTTCAACATCATTTAGAAGCAGCTTTCTTTTCTCATCTGCTGTCAAATCTGCCATGTCAACAAAGGAAGCCGTCTGCTACACCAGGGGAGATAAGTCTTGATGCAGTAAGGTTCATTCTTAAGCCTACGAGAGTTGCCTCCCATACTGATTACATTACTACATAATGTAACACTTATTTTAAAATTCTATTGTCAGTATTAGGAAACACAGATAATAATTTCTGGGAAAACTGTATCACTTTTGGAGAGCAACCATTGTTAAAGTATTTCGTCGTCTGTGACGTCATTAAACAACTGAACGTGACGTCAATGAAGTGGGCCGTCACACTTGCTTATCGTGTTTACTGCACAAATGTACCCGAATAAAATGGATAATAAAATATTGATTCCTTTCGAGCAGGTGTTCTGGCTACTGTTTGTCTATATTACACATTTGTATGTCAAATATGTTTGTGTGTGAAACATCTCAACTGTATTTTGTATGGAAAACATCCTTACTCTAAGGATAGTATGTTTCTGAAACATCTGTCTTTTGAAATGTATCTTTAGGTGAAACATAAAATATAATACAGAATTATGCAAGCGGTATTTTGAATGTTCGATATTTTACTTTATAGATATCATTTAAATGAAACACCTGAATCTAAACAATACTTTCGTGTGAAACATCTGTATTTCGCCTGTATTATATATGTGAGGCTTTTTTTCCTAAAAAAAAGGTTGCGATTTATAAATATCTGCATGTCAACTATATTTTTACAGTGTTTGGGACACATACGTAGTTCAACTCCATTCTTATGTGATACACTTTTTCTTGTTCAACTCATCTTTTGCTAGAAATAACTAAGATCAAGACAGTCAATTAGCCAAGAACGCAAAAACAGTGACAGTAAATTTGCTTATTACAATGTTGATTATCTGTGTTCATGACTGGATCATTTAAGGCACGATCGAAGGTGTCTGGTGTCGATATAGAAAATGTTCCTCACTTTACGCTGAAGTGCTTTTAGCGTCACTGTATGAGCGTCTGTCGATGCAATTAGAGGTTGACTTGCTCGTCTGAAACGGCAAGGAAGGAGAACACACGACTGCAATTATACGCAATGATATAATCAAACACTTTCATCAAGGCATAGAAGCAAAGCTGATTTTATTTGGTTCCTGTGAGAATCGACCGTTTACTTTCCACAACAAAGATACACATGAAGGTGGAGAAAATACAAATTATGTGCCCCGATGTGATTTTAATGAAGCAAGATTGTTCACTTGGCCTAAGGGAAGGTATTCCTTTCTTGTTCATCGAATGACCATTGGACTCAATTATGGGCTAATGTGGGCCCATATGGATGTTGTTTCGCAATAAAGGCTTAAAATGAGCTAAGATAAGTTGTTGTTGAGCTTCCTACAGGGATGTTCAAAACGCCAAGCCACAGTTTGTTCTGACATTTATAAGTTAAAAACCCTTTAAATTATTTGCTGTTAAACTGTTTTCGTGCTGCTCAGCCGAGGGCTAACTGTTAACTAACCATTCGCATCATTTATAAACTGTGGGAAGATATAATTTCATGGGTGTCTTTGGAAAACATATGAATATGCGAAGATGATCTGAAAATGTGTTCTGGAAAATGAGAGTATGTTATTTCTGGAACAACTCTATAAATATAGCGATCATTATCGATATTGATGTGAGTGGGGTCCATATATCTTGGTATTATGATTAAGACCTATCAAGACCTAATTTACAAATGATCACTTGCTCTCAGACGGATGGTGCCAGCAGGATATGCCCACACGTTATCCCTGCTAAACGATCCAGTATAGTCTGTCAGAGTTTAGCCTTTAATATGTATTGTCATAACATTTCTAAAACTAAACTTTTCTTGAAACTGTTAAGTAGTTTCATTTTTTTTTAAAACAATTCGGCCATCCCTTATGGTACTTTTGTTTTCAAGTTACAGTGAAAGTAAGAATTTTACGGTACCAGTGATAATATATGTGACAATTCCTTTCCATATGTAAAACCAGAAAATGGCCAAATGGAATGTGACCAGGGTCCCGATCAAAAATGTGCTTGTAACACAACGTTTTTCACAAGCTGGTGGTAAACTATATAGTGGCAATGGTTCATAACGTTATAAACAATTTCTTGAACCCTGGATTATTACATAAATTTTAACAATATTTAAATATGCTGTAAGCCCTTAAAAACGCAATTGGTATTTGTTGTCCTGAAACTCACAAAAGTTCTATTGAAGATTTTTGCCTGCGATACAGAGGATGTAGAGATAAAAGGCTGTAATTCTGGCCCATTTCGAGTTCGAGTCCCGGAGCATTCCTCTCACATGAACTTTGATACTTAAAACTGAACCTTTGACATTTCTCGTAAACACAACCACATTCATGAAACACGTTGTGCACATGCATTACCTGCACCCAGGCCCTGTAAAAGCACAATGAATTGTGGAACTCAATCACTTTGAGAAAATGCCACACTTGACACAAGACGAATGGAATCAGGTTATCGGTATGGTCAGCCAAGGTGCTTCAGATGTGATGATTGCCAGGCACTTTAATGTGCATCCATCCACTGTAAGTCGACTTAGACAACGTTTTCGGGCTACCGGAACTGTTGCTGATCGTCCGCGACCTGGTGCACCTACTGTGATAACAGCTCGACAAAACCACAATATCCGAGTTTCACACTTGCGAAATCGGTTCCAAACAGCTGATGATTAGGCAAGGAGGACAATTGGGACAAGTCAACGTCATTGCAGCGCCCAAAAGGTGCAAGGACGCCTTGCTGCCTTCAACATCCGGTGTCGTCACCCGTACCGTGGTCCAACCTTATTGCATCGCCACAGACTTGCCAGACAGCGATGGGGAGCAAATGGGGCCAATCTTGCCAACAGGACATGGCCAAATGTCATTTTGTCAGATGAATCCAGGTTTAACTTATCCTTTGCAGATGGACGTCCACAGATTTATCGACTTGCGCCAAACTGTGTCCTTGAACATGATCGTTTTGAAGGGGGTGGTGTCATTATCAGACCACAGACCATCAGAGGCTGCAGACCATCCAACAGCTGTTCCTGAGAAATGTGTGTCTTTCAATGCCCCAAAGACTGCGAGCATGTCTTGCAGCGCACGGTGGACAAACACGATATTGACTGCAAGTGACCCCTCCTTTGTTTGATGTCGTTGTTGCGTCACTGATGTTGTTGTTGACTGGACATTTTCAGATGAAATTATTCACAGATGTTCACTTAAAACATATCTGCCAGTTAGGTTTATATATGTTGAAATTGGTGTGAGTAAAGAAAGTATGAATGTCAAATTGCGTTTTTAATGGCTTACAGTATAGTAGAGCCTCATTGCCTTAATGTAATTGGTTTAGGTTGAACATTTTTAACTCCTCCTTCCACTCGAAAACTCACAGGTTGAGAAAATATATTCAATGTTCTCTTATGGGTTAAAGGCTTAATTAAAGGTATGTTTGCTTGTACATGTATTGAACGAGTCAAATACCTCACGTACAGACTCAAATAGACTGATGTGGATTCTGCTGACTGGTGGATCCTCATATGATCCATGGCGAGATGGTGTTCTTATAGCACTTGTATTACAAACGACCATTGCTAATCTGAGCAGTCCTTTTGACACATAGGACCATGGTCCAGAGACAAAACATCAATACTGAACAACTGAGACGAGTGATGATATAAAACAGTCAAATTAAGAGCTACATGTTTTTCCTTATGGAATACAAGTGGTTTATTTTTTGGGGTAAAAAGGACATCGACCCATCATTATTTATCATTCAAACGACTGGGATCCAGTCGTCTTGGTATTATCATGAGGTACTTTCCGGACATAATTCTTCAGGATCACTTTGTCCTTGACGTATATATATATATATATATATATAATATGAGTCCAGATATTTCTTCTTGTCCAATCTCCTTTATATCTGCACAAGATCTTTCGCCGTTCAACGGCTCTTCAGGTGTACAATGAAAGCTGAGTGTCGTCATAGGCGACACATAACGGTAATAGCTATGTCGTCATCATGCGTAGTTAGTGACAATAGCGGGAGAAGTAAAACGTAGTCATGGGTGACAGTATGGTTACGTTTGTGACGTCATCGTATTGTTAGAAACAATAGTGGTGGACGTGTATGCAGTATGGTTTCAGTGCACAAATACATACTGAGTTACATTGAGAAAGTTACAAAATTATACTTTTGTATTAAGCTTAGGTTTAAACAGCCTTATGAACATTTGTTCTTTTTCCATCAGTAATTGTTTATCATTGTTAACAATTGATAAAACGGAAAGATAGTAAACTGGCGATTCCCGCATTCATAGAATGAAGATAAAGCTACTCTGTTTTCAATTTTACGGTCCTTTATCGTTGATTTAAGACCGCTAAATGTTTAATTTAAAACCTCACGCTGACGCGTTACGCATACGCATGATGACGACATAGCTATTACCGTTATGTGTCGCCTATGACGACACTCAGCTTTCATTGTACACCTGAAGAGCCGTTGAACGGCGAAAGATCTTGTGCAGATATAAAGGAGATTGGATAAGAAGAAATATCTGGACTCATATTTTATATATTTATTGCTTATACACCTGCAGAAATCACTTGTTTATATAAATATATGTATATCATGAGATATATTTGTAGCTCGTTGTCAGTTAACCTTCAGGAACAGCATTCAGCCGAGGGAAGTTGGTGTTTGTTTGCGAAGATAACCATCAATGAAATTGTACATGTTTCTCATAATTTCATGAAGCTCACCAACATATTTCATGTGTTTGTCAAGGAGTAAGTGAGTTCGGCTTGTGTCTATAGCTTTGCGATCAATATTAGAGAAAGGTTCCGTTTGCGTACGGACGATTCTCCAGCCCAAAACAGACAGTGTTCTTCAAGAAATGTGACCTAGTGGTGTTAAATTTTGCAAGTTGCGCCGAAACCACACGAAACCTCTGTTCTACGTTATTAGGTTCGTAAGCAAATTAAACGGACTCGTGGGTTTCACCAAACTGCATCACTTCTGTCTGTCCTCCCACATCAAGCTGACACGCCAAGATAATACTGGAATACCGCCCACAGCCGCTTTCAAAACAACTTACCAGGGCACTCATTCTTTGGTGAAAGGGATTGATACCAATTCTACAACTGGCAGCATTTAAATATATACCTTATTCAACGTCTTAAGGCAGATATCTCAAACGAAGACGTCAGCTGGCGTGATGGAGTACTGTAAGGGATATTTCCCTTTCTCGCGATCTTGACACTTGGTAAACAGTGCAAGCTGTCGAAAGTGCGAGAACGCGACATTTGAAGCCAAACAATCTTTCCAAGATGTCGAGGCTGCCTCAGTGCGAAGTATATATTGGCTATGTCACGACAGAGGTGAAGAAACGGGACTAATCACGGTAATCGCCATTTATCACTTGGTGAGATGAGACCGGCAAAGAGAGTTCATATCGGTCTGACTAAACTGAGTCAATAATTGTTTAGCCTCCGAAAACACTGCATTTATCAGAGAACTCAATGTTGTTACACCGTAGGGCATCGTGGATGGATGAAATCTCTAGATATTCATGAAGTAAATGGAAAATTGTAATGAAATGACAAAAACTACTAATGAATCACGAAATGACCGAATATGAAATATATCTTCCTCTGAGATTATTAACGACTAATATATCAGGTTATCCTCAAACTAATTATGAAGCAAATCAAAACAAGTTCAGCACCAATTTGACATTTCCAGTTGCAATTTGAGTCCAGTGTGAGTCAAGATTGCATAGGTTGTAACAGATCACTAAAATGATGCTAAGGACTGTATGTTTATACCGTCTTTAGCATCTATTTTGGGAAATCTGATGTTCAGTATCCTGTCGGATTTTACACACCTTTTAACAATATACCATTTAGCATGGACACATGGCTTCACGGATTAAACTGGGAAGAGTAAACAGGATGTTACTCTGAAAATATCGTAACGACTAATCCTAACATTGGCGTATGTTTACTGGCTCCTTCTTGGACCACACAAGGCGTGTGGAGGCATGTTATTAACGATTCAATCTATATGCGGCGGCCTGAAAAAAATAAAGTCTTGGCCAGTCACACTTTTGGTTCAAAGAATGAACAAAGATGCAGGCTAGCGCAAAGCAATGACGTACAACAAACCAGGCCATGTAACGAGATAATCACAAGTTGGTTCTTACGACGAACACTGGGTTAATATGGGAATATTCTCTCCCAGGAGTCCCGTGGGGGTACGGTGAATAGTTTTATATTGAATTGTTTTTCTTACACCCTTGACATGGCTCTTTGAAGCAAAAGTAAATATGATCTAAAACTATAAGCTGAATTTTGAAACTTGAACAGCCTTGCATGTAATCAAGTTCAGACTATCACTGACTGACTGAGTTTGGTTTTACGCCGCTTTTAGCAATATTCCAGCAACATCACGGCGGGGGACACCAGATATGGGCTTTACACATTGTGCCCATGTGGGTATTCGAACCCGGGTCTTCGGCGTGACGAGCCAACGCTTTAACCATTAGGCTACCCCACCGCCCTCAGACTATGAAGTGATATGATAGTTTGTGTACTGATTTTGTTGAACCTAAAGGTTTTTAAAGTTACGTATAATGATTGAAGCAACGTTATATGTGAGGTCGATTGTAACTTAAACGATGAGGCACTGAGTTGCCTTGCATGTCTAACGGTACATAAAAGATAGATCCCATAAATTCAAATGATGTCTCATAAACATTTGGTGCTTTAATCGTTTGCTGTTTTGTTTACGAAAAATACTACTATTCAAAGCATCGCAATTGTTTGTAGCAATAGTTTACAATACATTTGTGTCAGACAGCGTATGTGTTGCAGATTCCTATTTCTATTCTTAGAAAATATCTTAGAGACAAGCAAAATGATTTTCTAATAACGTTTATTGAAATGCCAACATGATATTAAAATGGTACGTATCATTGTTTGGAACTGAAAACGCTGAGCTGAAACTACGGCACAGGTTTTACAACATGGCTGATATGACATTGTCATGTTTTAGTGAAACATCTCAATTCTTCACCAAACATTATACAATCATTTTAATACATGAACGACAGAGAATAATCATGTTCGTACATCGGCCGAAATAAATTCTATGGATTCTAAATGAGAATATATAAACGATGTGATCGCTGAAAAATCATTCATGACATGGTGTTTAGAAAAAATAAACATGTACCGGGTATCCCCGCCATAATGATATAGCCTGTAAAAATGCAAAAAAAGGGGATTAAAAATTCAATGTAAATGGCATGGCCTGGAATGGCGACGAGCTTTATGTTGGCAATCGACATGTCATATTTATCCACATATATTTGAAAGTCAAAAACACAATTTCTTAACCAGGCCTATGATGGTGAAAACGCTATTGACATTTTAAGTTGTCAAAGTGTGTTGTTCTGTGAAAATGTGAACATATCAAATAATAAGATATATAAGTTGTAAAGTAAAAAGATTGAGGAGTGAAGATGCCATACGCTAGAACTGGTGGAAAGTTACTCGACATGATGAGGAAATTTACGATTGGGAAACTGAAATCCGTTTATACAGTCTGCAGAGTCTGGCTCTTCATGTGACTGTAAATTCAAATATTCCACAACATTATCAACCTAGAGACAATAGAATCATTCCATTAATGTCATAGTAGACGAACCATCTCGCGTAAACCATAAAAGGTACACTATATAGTGTTCATTAGTAAGTTGCAATGCTGTTTTTGTCACATTTATTGCTTTTATGACCAATTGTATTTCCTTTATGAGGGGAAAGCTGTAAGCCATTATCAACAAACACAACCTTTCTGTCTACACTGGTCAATAAAACCACAATTTCTCCCGAAGAGAACTAAAGTGAAGTCTACATTGTCTACAGGATTTTTATGACTGAATTTTATGTTATACAAAACACAGATCTCATGTCGTATATGTAATAATAATATTGTGATAAAAGGCGTACATGAATACATGTCCGTACACATATATTAAATCGATTTTAAATAAAGCAAACAACATATTCTGTTGTCATTAGTAATTTCTACTCTATTAAAAGCCGACTTTATAATAAACATGTATTTATGAATCATTATTTAAGACTGATGATACAAGGCGTTCGCAAAAAGATGAAAGCATACTTTCCCGCAGCTTTCACAAGTCATACACAGATGGAAAGACAAGCCAAATGTTCTACTCAATAAACACGGGAACAAATGGCACAAGCTTATACATAGAGACTAATTCGACAAATTTGGTCGTGCCCTTTACTTTCCTGAAACTTAAACTAAGCCCTTGAATGTGAAAAAATAGAAAATACACAAAATTAGAGCTCTTCAAATTCTTCGAAGAAAGAGCACCCTAAGCATTACCACAAATGTTGCGAAGTTTAGGAGAAAGGCTGGTGCTGCTGGGTGACTGGGATGGGGTGAAATTAGTCTTTCACAGTTATCACTAGGGCTGCGCAATATAACCGGTTTACCGGTATTTACCGGTTCAGACATGAAAACGATACGTATTGCGATACGCTGATCGAAAACCGTTATTCTGACTTGCATTCGGAAAACTTCGTAACACTCGGAAATCTTCGGATATTTCCTTGTTTCATTTGTGCGAAATATTATTCACATTTCTATTTCATCATGATTGAAAGTTGTTATTAAAGCTTAATCAAGCATGGTAATTTTGTTGTGTTTTTGCTCTATAAATCAAGCATTAACTCGATTATAAGTAGTTTTTTGTTTGAAAATACTTCATGCAATAAATTGCAATACATATCGCAATACATGCATTCGCATCGCAATATATCGCAATATGAAAATTCTCTGCAATACCCGCCCCTAGTTATCACCCTTGTTATCCAGTGACTCTGAAACCTCACACATAGATCTACATGTGGAATAGATGAGTCGGTCTCACTGGTCACTTTCATTTCAAGTTCAGATGCAAAAGTTAGTTGAAGAGAACTGGCTATTTTACAGTTATATCTTGATTATATACTATTTAATACATTTCATACACAGACAGCTATATCTGTGTTTCTGTTTGTGCATTCTACCAGTGACAACATCGTGACTTTACCCACTCCGAAATACAGTGGGTTCGCTTCTCTATTGTTCTTTTTGCGGTTCAAAACTTCCATGTTTATTTTCAACGAATGATCACATTTGATAATAGGCTACCACAACATGTCGGGCCGTGTATGCAACAGCCACCTATGGTTATATGAAAGACAGTTCAGAAGACGTCTACGGAGTCTTGGCAGCCACGAGTGTTAGAATTTACTTTGTGCTTTTCAAGTCGACGTTTTGCAACACGTCCCTATTGAACAAACTGGATGAGAGTGTGAACTGAGAACGAAACTGTTGATGGTCTTTGATGTGTAAAATTCGGGAAAAATATATTTTTGTCTGAGAATGTTACTTAAGTTCGAAGCATAACTTCGCTTTTTGGCAAATTTCAACTTTTAGGAA